AACGGGTTTTCCAATCGAAGCCGTGAGGGCGCTCAATTGCCCAGCAGAAGCAACAACAGCAGCAACAGCAGCAGCAGCAGCAGGAGCAAACCTCTCGCTCTCTGGCCTTCACGGGCTGTCGTCTTCCTTTATTGTCTTTGGGCCCAAAGCGCAGCAGCAGCTGCTGCAGCTTGACAGCAGCAGCAGCAGCAGCCACGGGGGCGCCAGCAGCAGCGTGGCTGTGGCCGAAGCAGTCGCAGCAGCAGCAGCAGCAGCACTAGCTGCTGGGCCTCTCCGGGCGTCGCCTCTTGATTGGCTGTCTGTACACCTCAATTCTATTGACATAGAAGGAGAGGCGGTGTCTGCTGCTGCTGCTGCTGCTGCGGCTGCTGCTCACTTGCTGAGAGGGCTGCTGCGCGAGGGCTACGTCGAAGACGAAACCGCAGCAGACGGAGAGGACTCGGACTCAGCAGCAGCAGCAGCAGCAGCAGCAGCGGCAGCAGCAGCAGCGGGAGATATCGTGTCTTTAGCTGAGCCCGTGATGCATCTGGAGCTGCTGCTGCCAGCTGCATGCGTTGGTGCTGCAGCAACAGATCTGACGCAGCACAGAGAGGCTCATGTTGTCTCGATAACAGCAGCAAACGCTGCTGCTGCTGCTGCTGCTGCAGCTGAGGCTCACGGGGTTCCTGAAGACGAGGAGCGTCTCATGCAGCTTGATGCGACAGTACGTCCGGAGCTGCTGCTGCTGCTGTTGCTGCTGCTGCTGCAGAAGCTAGCGATGATTACGGCGCTGATCTGTGCTGCTGCTGCTGAATTGATTTTGCTGCTGCTGCTCTTGTGCTGCAGCTGCCGCTGCGGTGTGCTGAGGGCTGCGCCTCTGCACTTCTTAATTTGACTCGAGGTGAGGACATTGGCTTTCTGCTGCTGCTGCTGTTGCTGCTGCTGTTGCTGCTGCTGATCTGCTGGCTTGCTGACTGGTACCAAGCCTGCTGCTGCAGTTCCATCTGCTGCTGCCGTTTCTACGCCTGCTGCTGCTGTTCATACGACTACTGCTGCTGCTGCCCATACGACTGCTGCTGCTGCTGCAGCATATGTGGCTGTTCCTGCAGCAGTCGCTGCCGCCCGAACTACCCCTGCTGCTGCCTGTAGTGCTACTCTTGCTTTCTGTTGACCATACTACTGCTGCAAGTGCTGCTGCTGCTGCCTCTGCTGCTGCTGCTGCTGCTGCTGCTGCTGTAGGCCGTGCCAGTTTGCACTTGAGGCCTTTGGGCTACGGGGAGGTCTCCGCAACTGCGCAGCAAATTCTCCTAGCCCGCTGACCAGGCCTGCTGCTCAGCAGCAGCAGCAGCAGCAGCAGCAGAAGCAACAGCAGCTACTGCTAATGTTGCTGCTACAGCAGCCGCTGCATTGGGTCCGCCTGTAATAGTAGCTGCGGCTCTTGGTGCAGCAGCAGCTACTGCAGTTGCCGCAACACCAGCAGCTGCTGCGACAGCAGCAACTGCCAAAGGGAGGGGG